GTTGATTGACATTTCCTGGGAAAGCTATAAACAACATGACTTTTTGTCTGGCCCTGGGCTACAGCCTGCCCTGTGATTGATACGCACCTTGCAGGGATTGGTCCATGTAATACAAATGAAGTGACTATGGATGATGCAAATGAGGTAACGATAGCCTACTATACAAATGAAGTGTCTGTGGCCTACCGAGAAGAGACTGGTGAGTTTGTGGCCCCGCTGGGAGGAGCCATGCCTTGAAATTGACAGGGAGTTGTGGATATATATGCAGCCAGCCCCACAGAGGTTTTTCAGACAGAAAGCAGCAGGAAGAGAAGAAGTAGAGGAAGAGAGAAGCAGGAGAGAGAGAGAGAGAGAGGAGGCAAGGGATCTCCTAAAAGAGCTGTGACACAGGTCAAGGGCTGTACCACTGAAGACAACGACAGGTCTGGAGGGGGCCCTGCAGCAGAGCCAGTAGCGACAGGTCTGGAAGGTGCCCTGTGGCAGTCAATGGTGAAAAACAGCAGGTCCAAGAGGATCCTGTCCTCAGGGGGCTGAGAGAAGGCCTGTCTTGAGGAGGCTGAGAAGAGGCCTGCATGGCCAGGAGGAGCTGAGAGAGCCCATCCTGCAATGAAGAAGGGAGACTTCGCCTACATGCTTGCTGTTCCTGATTCTGAGTTGTAGCCTGCTGCTCCTGATCCCAAGCTGTACCCTGTTGCTTCCTTAATAAACCACTTAACTATAATATGGTCTGTGAGTTCTTTGAGGCCATTGCAATGGATTATTGAACCCAGAAGAGAAGTAGAGAGTGCTGCAGGAGGGACAGCTGGTGTCAGAACTGGTAAAAAGGTTGGAGAGTGGAGGTATGTGTGACCTCCACCTTATAGGGATCAGGTTTCGGTTGCTCCTGGTCATTATTACCCTGAAGTTAGACAGGTTCTGATGCTACTGCTACTAACTACTACTACCGTTTTACAATATCCTCCAGGCAAAACTAAAAAGACAACAGTAACTTGAATTCACATGAAGAAAACAAAGAGCACCAGTAAAGCCAATCTTCAAATTCATACGGCACTGCCAGGGGCTCCAAACAGCCAAAACAATCTAGAAAAAGAAGAATTAACTAGAAGGACTCATACTTTCTGATTTCAGAAAATGAGTAAACAGCTACAGTAATCAAAACAGTATGGAACTGGTATATGCACAGACATATAGACCAATGGAATAGAACTGAGATCCAGAAAGAAACCCATGCATACATCTATGGCCAAATGATTTTTGACAAGAGTGTCAAGTCCATTCAGTGGGGGAAAGGATAGTCTTATCAACAAATGGTGCTGGGACAAACCTATCTTTATATGCAAACAAATAAAATTGGACCCATATCTAACATTATATGTGAAAATTAACTCAAAACAAATCAATGACCTAAAAATAAGACCTAAAACCATAAAACTCTTAGAAGAAAACAGAGGAGTAAACTTCAAGACCTTGTTTTGACAATGGATTCTTAGATATGACGACGAAAAGCAAAACAGATAAACTGAACTTCATCAAAGTTAAAAACTTCTGTGCATCACAGAACTTTATCAACAAAGTAAAGGGACAACCTCCAGAATAGTAGGAAATATTTGCAAATCATTCTCTGGTAAGAGTTTAAAATCTAGAATACACCCACTCTTCACTTATCAACATGGTTAGGTTCCAAAGACCAAGTCATTATGTGAAAATCATGTTATGCAAAAATGAAGTATGACCACATCAGATCACAAAATGAAGGATGACTACATCATTACATGACTGCCAAATTATATTATTACTTAACTGCCAAATTACATCATTACGTAACTGTCAGATTATATCATTATATAACTGCTAAACGACTGAGAATCACGGCCCAGCATACTGACACATAACCTTAGCCATCACAGTCAGTGTTACTCTCACCTCCAGCCTCGGCGTTCGTTACTGCCAGATATACGTTGTTAACGCACAAAATCATCTGATAGTGAATTTTTTACTATTGTCATAAACGCAAAATGGTGGATAATGAGATAGTCGATAAGTGAGGAGCAAGTGTATATAAAGAACTCCTACAACTCAAAACAAAAAGGTAAACACCCAATTAAAAAATGGGCAAAGGACGAACAGATATTTCACCAAAAAAGATAAACAAACGGCAAATAACCACAAGAAAGACTGATCAACACATTAGTCATTAAGGAACTGCAAATCAAAACCACAGTGAAATACCACTTTACCCCCACTAGGATTACTAGTACCAAAAAACAAAAAAATAACAAGTACTGGTGAGAATACAGAGAAACTGGAGCCCCCATTTATTGCTGTAGGATTGTAGAATAGTACAGCAACTATGAAAACAGTTTGGTGGTTCCTCATTATCATATGACCCAGCAATTCCCCTCCTAGGTATATACTCAAAACACTTGAAAGCAGGGACTCAAACATACACCTGCACACCAATGTTCATTGAGGCACTAATCACAACAGACAAAAGGTAAAAAGCATCTAAATGTCCACCAACAGATAAATGGATAAACTAAATGTGGTATGTAAATACAACATAATATTACTAAGCCACAAACAGAAACGAAGTTCTGATACATGCTATGACATGGATGAACCCTGAAAACATTATGCTGGTGAAGTAAGTCACAAAAAAAAAATACCGTACGATTTTACGTATATGAATATCAAAAAGTGGCCAACTCAGAGAGACCAAAGTTTATCAGTGGTCACCAGGGGCGGGCACGAGGCGGAAAGCTAGAATTATTGTTTAAGGGACAATTAGTTTCTGATAAGTGTGATGAAAAGATTTGGAAACAGTGGTAATGGCTGCAAAATATGACGAATATGATTAATGTCAACGAATTGTATATGTAAAAATGGCAAAGGTTCTCTTATATGTTTTTTGCCACAATAAAAAGGTGGAGTGTAGTTTATTAGTGGTTACCTGGGGCGGGGGGAAGGGAGGAATGGGGAGTTATCGCTTAAGGGAGATTGTTTTGGGTGATGAAAAGGTTTTAGAAATTGATAGTGGTGATGGTGGCACAACATGGTGAATGTAATTAATGTTACTGAACTGTACATGTAAAAATGGTTGAAATGGCAAATGTTTTGTTATCTATATTTTACTACAATACAAAGAATTGGAAAAAAAATTGTATCTCAAAAACAAAGAAAACGCAAAAAAAAACTAAAAGGTTTTTTGCCCTTATAATGAGGTAGAAAACTTTCTCATCCAAACAGTTCTCCAATTACATATTTTCTAGTGCATTTAAGCAAGTTTCTCATTCTGATCCAATTAATATATTAATAATCTGAAATCAAGACAACTTTAGATCTAAAATACTACTACTAAATGATGTCATATTATAACACCTAGAATTTCAACAAAATAACCCTCTTTATTTCCCTTCTCCTCATTAAGTAGAAATTAAAGATCTAATTTTAATCTGTAATTCCTATCAACAAAAGAGTAATATCCAGAATACGTTTAAAAAAAAGAAAGAAAAACTTCCCGCAAGGCAATAAGCAGACAATATGAGCAAAAGATATCATCAGGCAATTCAGAGAAAACACCAACAGTCCAAAAATATGTGAAAAGATGTTTATGCTAATAATCAAGGAAACACAAAACAAAAATGAGATAAACCTCTTCACATTCATAAAATTGACAAAAACTAATAAATCTGACACAAAGTGTGGAAAGATGTGGAAAATCAAGAATTATAAAACTCTGGTGGTACAAGTATAAATTAGTACAACCACTTCAAAGAGTAATAATATAACATCTAGTAAAGATAAAGACACGCACAAAGCTAAAATTCTGCAATTCTAGTTTTAGGAGTACACTCAAGAAGTCTCACAAATGTGGCCAATGAAAGAACAGACAAGACTTTTCATTGTAGCACTACTGTAATAAAGACAAAGTGGAAGGGATAAACTATGGCTTATTTACATAATGGAACACTGTTATGGATTTAATCGTGTGTCCCCCAAAATAGGTGTTGCAAAATCCCTTTATCTGTGGTTATAATCCCATTTGGAAAGGGGTTGCTTTTGTTATGTTAATGAGACAGGATTAGTATACAGTGTGTCTTAAATCAATCTCTCTTGAGATATAAAAGAGATTAAACAAGCAAGCAAGAGAAGCAGAGATGGGGTAAGAGAGATGCCAAGTGACATGAAGATCACCCAGGAGCAGAAGCTCAAAGAGACAAGAACCTTCCCCTCCAGAGCTGAGAGAGAGAGAAACCCTTCCCCTAGAGCCAGTACCCTGGATTCGAACTTCTAGGCTCCTAAACTGTGAGAAAATAAATGTTTGTTAAAGCCACCCATTTTTGGTATTTCTGTTATTGCAGCACTAGATAACTAAGACAAAAACCAAACAATAGTTAAAAATGGATAAACTAGCTCTACATATATCAACATGGATATATGCCTATAGTGTTGAATTTAAAAACTGCTTAACATTCATGTAAATTTTTAAACACACAAAATAAACATGACTGGGAAGGATCTACAGACTGGAGGATGCTGGTTACCTCTGGAGACCCACATGGAAGGGCTTTAACTATCACTGTTTAACATTTAGTTTTTTTTTTAAAAAGACGACGATCTGGAGCAATTATGGCAAAATGTTAACATCTATTTAATCTCTCTGATGGTACCTAAGGTTATATATATTTAAAAAAATACATATTTCTATAAAATATCAAATATATACTAAAGAAACAATTTCCATAGCCCCAAAAGTATTTTCATTTTTGTATTCTTTTTCTATCTTTATCCAACTGAATATCGTTGAAATCATAGTGTACAAAAATTTTTATATTTATTTTGTATTCAGAGTTCTAGGTCTAAACTTTTTCCAATTAAAAAATTTTTTCAAGTTTTTCCTTAAGTTTCAAAAATTTTAATTCATATATGGGGGGGACGATTTAGAAGTCAACTGTTTTAGTTTGTAAAGGTAGAAGAGAAGGTTAAAATAGAGTTCTTACTTGCTGAGTTTGTCTAAATTCTTCCAAGAGTTTTAGTGCCATATCATAATCTTTCAGTAAATGGTATGCAATAGCATAGCCAATCCAGGAAGCACGTTGTGTTGGGCGCAACTGAAGAAGTTGATATCTTGTCTCCTTCAAAAAAGAATATTTTAATTTTTAAAAGTTGTTTAACCTTCTCAAAATATTTATATCTCATCACAGTTTTAAGAAAACAATTGCATTTAATATCTTTGTAATAAATTCAATTAACAAGTATCAGTTCCCGAATAAAACAGAAATACATCTTATATTCCTTACTTTAAATTACTTACATTCTAGAACACCCTGTAATGCTCACTGTAAAGCTGTCACTGAAAAGCTGTCCTTGGGGCCCGTGCTTTTGGGATGTCTTATAAGATTACCTTCATGTAGTGAGATTTCTTCCGGTAACTAAACGTCTTGGAACAAAGACAGCTGTTTTAAACTTAAAATTTGCTATTTATAAAGCTGTCACAGGAAATTACAACGTATTCACATTGTCACAACGGGCCCCATAGCTTGAATGCTTCACAGCTAGAAAAGCAGAGATGGTCAACACAGCCAGGGGAAACCTACAAACACACAGGACTCCCGTAGCAGAAAAACCACTGCGGCCACTGTTAAGACAGATCATCAACGATGACGTTATGGACAAAATACCAGAAACTCCACCATGGCTGCCTCAGAAGAATCAAGATAACTTCACTATCAAAAAAAATCCAATCTCCCTACATAGCCTCCACATCTCATAGCTCATTTCTACCTCCAAATTCTAGGGAAGTGTAACTGTTTGGAGGAACAAGGTCTCATGAAGAATTCTAACGGCATATGACATTAAGCTATAGCACTCTCACCTGTTATTTTCACCATTGCTTCTCTGTCACGCCTCTCCTTCATTCAAATCAAAGTGTTTGGCACCCTGCTCAGTACTCCTTGTCTTTAATGATCTTTTCTTCCACCTGCTCAGGGACCCACTCCCACGACCACACCCTGGACTTTACTGCCGCCCAGAAACCATATATTAAGACATCTCACTCTCTGACCACAGCTCCTACACTTTCAACAACATTCTCGTCTGGTAACATTCCTTCCTTTGTTCTTTGACATTACCAGTACCTTTATCCTTGGGTTCCTCACTTCTCACCACCAACTTTCTTTTATCTTCATTTGATTCACTACCCAGCTTAGCAACCACTCTCTTACCAATATTCTTAATTTCTCTGCCTTATTCCTAAAGGTAACTGATTTTAACTTCCACAGCACACAGACTGATGAGCACTGCTGAAGAAAAACACACAACCTTAAATAACAGTGCCATAATTAAGTTCAGAGGAGCCCTTGAAACTGCTGCAATAATCTAGACATCAGGTACAAAGATTCCTACGGCAGCATAAGGCAAAGTAAGAAGTAAATGAAAGATTTACTTAAGAAAACTGTTAATAGCCGGTGACTGCCTTTACCTAACAAAGTGAGAGAATTCCATTTTGGACATACTGAATTTACGATACTAAGTGGAATAAGAGTAAGCACATGGAGATGCCAAGCAGAAAGTTGAAGATTCAAGTCTGAAGGGGTCTAAACCACAGAAAGACCAATTTATGGAAATTGTTCTCACATTGTTTGTATTTACTAACCCATAATAAAGAAAGTGAATGTTTACTGTGTTTACATTTCAGATGTCCCTAGGTGGCACAAACAGTTAAGTGCTGGGCTACTAGCCAAAAGGTTGGCAGTTCGAACCCGCCCAGCGGCACCTTGGAACAAAGGCCTGGCAAGCTGCTTCCAAAAGGTCACAGCCATGAAAACCCTACGGAGTGCAGTTCTACTCTGAAATACATGGGGTCGCCATGAGTCATAACTGACTCGATGGTAACTGGTTTGTTGTCTTTTTTTGTTTTTTGGGGTGTTTATATTTCTATTATAAAAGCTCTATTGGTTTGACCAAATTTGTAAATGTCAAACCCACAAAGAATCTGGTATGCAATTTGCACAAGCTGTAATGAGCAATCAATTACATGAGGTCAGACTATGCTCACCTCATTCTAAATTCACATGCTTTTAAATTACGTCTATTGCAAAAACATATACATTTAAGACTTAAGTACTTACTCGGTAACCTTCAAGGTCTCTCATTTGGATCTGCAACAGAGAGAGATCCCTTAGAATTTGCAGATTGTCTTTATCTAATTTGAGGGCATTTCGGTAACACTTAATAGCTTCATCATATTTCTTATCAGAACGCTGCAAGAGTCCATACACATGCCAACCTAATAAGTTAAGGAAATAGAGACATTCACAGATACTAGAATATACTATGCTACACATCTAATATAAAACTTACCTTAACAAAATGGTACTTTGTCTGGGATTTGCTTCAGAATGATCTGGGATGTGGAGAGGGGGACAGTGAGGGGATGGTTAAAGATGAAACAAGATAGCCTTGATTGACAATTGTTAAACTGCTGAAGCCAGGAGATGGGCACATGGGGTTTCATTATTCTATTCTACTTCTGTACTTGTTTGAAATTTTCCATAATATATTTAAAGTAATCTTAGAAAATTCTTGGTAAAAATTCTTTACATTGCCCCACCTTCTATTCCCTCACTTCACCATCCCAGCAACCTCAACATTTATTTGTCCTTCATCACTATATATGAACAGAATATTGTACAAAAATTGCAATTATCTTTTAAAACCGTAAATTTACATCCAACCAACCCTAAAATAACATGTAACCCTAATTACTTGATTAATAATATTAAAGATCACAAAACCTAAGTTTAGTTTATTGTAAATTAAAGTCTTAGCATATCCTGAAGCAAAACAAACAAAAACTATCATAGTTACATGCCCTGTCTCTTCACTCTGGTGTAAGCACTGGGATAAAAAAATGAGTATTTAGTATTCTGAGAGATCCCTAAGCTAAATATGTAAAAATACTAATCAGACAATTTCTAAGTGTCCAGCGAAGTATAACAGCTATATCCCAGTGCAACAGAAACCAAGCTGAAGAACCAATATAATGTCATAATACTAAATAAAATGTTTTAAAACTAGTTCCTTCTAAATTTTTCTTCTAAAATTTCTACAAGGAAGTTTAAGGACCCAAATTTTACTATATTAAAAAATAACTAAATCAGTATTTGGAATAACAGCAAAATTGCACTTAGTTCATGGATGTGTAAGAAAAAACAATGAGTTCAAGTTCACATATAATTATCAAAGTAACTTTTCTCTCACACTAAGCACAACCGCAATAAACACACACACATTCTGTATAGGGATTTTCTTTAAAATACTCCAATAAATAAACAAAGGGAAAGGGAACAGATCAAACAAATATTATAAAATGTTGATAACTATTGAACTGAGTAATAAGTACAAAGAATTCATTAAATTCTGTCTTTTGTGTACGTTTGAAATTTTTCATAGTAAAGTTTTTTTTAATTCGAATTACAAAAAATTAGTAAATGGAAAATATATAAATGAAATTAAACCATTCAACTACTGTAAAAGGATACAGACATGACTCTTGACATCATTGCGCAATCCTTTACGAACAAATTCATACGCTTCTTCTTTCCTTCCTAAACAGTTCAATGTTAATCCTTTCATAGCCAAAGTTTCTGAAAAATAATTTTAACCTCTATTTACACAAAACTCTAATTTTTCTCTTCAATTTTAATATTTGAGATCTGAACGATTATTACTGCTCCAATGTTTTATTATTCATTTTTAATGTGGTTAAAATATATATAACAAAACATCTGCCAGTTGAACCATTTTTACACCTGCAATTCACTGACATTAATTACATTCACCATATTGTGCAACCATTACCACTATCCATTTCCAAATTTTTTCATCACCCTTAACAGAAACTCAGTACCCCTTAAGCAGTAACTTCCCACTTTCCTCTTCCACTATTATTCATCTTTTCAATCCCATAGTTGGAAGAACTTCTCTCCAAGTACAAAAACTGAAACTATACATAAATATTTGCTTAAAACTTAGCTGGAGTCTTAAAGGCTAGCGAGCAGCCATCTAAGATGCATCAATCAGTTCCAACCCACCTGGAACAAAGGAGAATGAAGAATACCAAAGACACAATGAAAATATTAGCCCAAGAGACAGAAAGGGCCACATAAACCAGAGACTTCATCAGCCTGAGACCAGAAGAACTAGATGGTGCCCGGCTACCACCAATGACTGCC